GGTTCATCATAAGGTTGCAAATATAGCAAGTGATCAAAGAGGAGAAGCTTCAAATAGGACCATGTCAAATCTTCCTAATGAACTTGGAACTCAAGAAAGTCAAGTGGTAATAGTTTTAAATTTATAAGATAGTTTATATTTAAATTTAAGTTTTTGATTAAATTCTAAGATAGTTATATTTAAATTTATAGCATTTTTCAAGTTTATGATGATGATTAAGTTCTAAGAACTCTTCCATTTATTGCTGAATTTTGTTAACTATTTCAAGGGAATCTAAATTATAATGCAACAATGAATGATTTTGATCTCAATTTGAATTATATATCACCTATTATATTTATTCTTACTTTTTTTCAATATTGATAATTTCAAAATATTGATTGTTATTTGTACTTGATCTGATTGATTTACCTTCTTTTTTTTTTTTTGCATTTGTAGAATTATGAGAAGTTTATAACAAATTTCATACTTGATAGTTCCTTTCTAGTTGAGGACTAATGTAACCTAGATTGTACCATTTCATACTAGAGGGAAAGTCCAATTGCTATGGTAGATTCAAAGAAAGTAATTCAAATATCTATGAAAATATGTAATTTTTTATTGACAAATTCCTATTAATAATAGTAATTCATAACTCTCTCTCTCCAAGTAATGTGCATAATTTCTAGGTTTTTGTTATAATTATGAAAATTTGACATTGCCATGGTGCAATAAGGGGCTTATAGGTATGAGATTAATGTCAATGAAAAAGACTCCACATGAAAGTAATAATAGTTGTCAACAAAAAAAAAAAAGAAGCCATTTTTATTAGTAAGAGTATTTGTAGCTTATACAGTATATATACATAAATTAAACTCTAATAATTCATCAACAGTCACAAAGACATGAGCTTAATCTTCTCAATCACATGGCAAGATACAAGCCCCTACACTCCCTTTTGCTCTTAGCATTACAATGCCCCTTTGCACTTGTAGCTTGAGTCCTTAATAGCCAAAGGACTAAAAGTACTAAAAGAATTTTAGGAGCACTCTCGTCAAAACCAATACATTTTTTAATAAATTTCAATACTTTTTTTTTTTTTTTTTTTTTGTTGCTGAGGTCTTCTTTTCCTTCCTTAAAAATGGTTGTGGTTTCTAGAAATGTTAATAGGACAACAAATTGGATATATAGTAATTTCAAAAGATTCATGTAAAACATGTCTCCATCCCCTGTGAATTTAATAACACCAACATCTATCTTCTTTTTAGAAAATGAATAGACCAAAAGGTAGCTAATTAAGAATATACATACCAATCAACAAAAAGAAATCTACAAAATTAAGATATCTAACAATAAAATGTTAAGATTTCATATAAAATCATTTAAATATCTTTAATTTAAATATCCAGAAAATTTTATTAAAATTATATTTAAATAATTTTATAAAGAATATTAACATTTTAAATGTCAGGATATATTACTTTTCATTTTCCTCATCAACAAAATATGAATTTCTTGGTAAGGCTAACGACATTTTTATTTAGGGAACTGGGGTATGAAAATTAACAATGCGTTAATATGAAAAGCTTCATATGCGCCCTTATGCAAGAAAAATATTTCATCACTCCAACCTCGTTCCAACAAAATATATAAACTGATTCCTAAAACTAAACTGTGCCAGGAATACAAGTCCGTTGCTCAAAAGAAATTGATTTAAGTTCAAAACTAACTCATTATAACAATTAAAAACAAGAACCGGTCAAAACAAAAATCCTTCCCTAATTCTTTCATTCCCAGCCAGTGGCAGCAGGAGGCGGCGGGATGACATCGATTCCAGAACTTGGAATCTGTGGAGGAATTGCAGCATCCCAGTCTCCACTTGGTGCAACTGCATTCAAAGTTTAAAAGGAGTATGTGAGATGCAATAGGTAAGAGGGGGAAAAAAAATTAAAAAAAACCATAACACTATGCATTGCACATGGCAATGCTTCACTTAATGATAGCATTCAACATAAAATACATGGAAAACAATAATAATTGGATAGATATCACGAAAAGCTTTACAGACCAGCAGAAAAACAATAATT